TCTAAATACCTGGCTAATCATTGCCCGTGAAAACCTTACAAGAAGGGTATCTGCCTTAATTCTATTTCAGTCTAGTATTGTTTTCCAGCAGTCCGAAAAGACATGTTGACCCATTGATAGCCTATTGATATGGCTTTTATAGAACAGTATTGTCCAACAGAAGTATAATATGAGCCACAAATGCAAGCCACATTTGTATTTTTAAATTTCCTAGTATGTACATTTAAAAAGTAAAAAGAAACAGATGAAGCTAACTGTATTCATATATTTTATTTAACTCGACATATCTAAAGTATCATTTTAACATATTGTTGATATAAAAATATTAATGAGATATTTTATTCACTGAAAGTTTCCAAAATCTGGTGTGTATTTTACACCTACAGCACATCTCAGTTTGGATTAGCCATATTTCAAATGACCACCATCCACTTGTGGCTGTTGGCTACCATATTGAACAGTGCAGGTCTAAGAGATATCAGAAGAGTCAACAGTCTCCATTAGCGACAGATCTTGACCCAATGAACCTGACCCAGAAGAACTTAGGCACATTGACAGACATTCTCGTGCATCTTAGTTGTTTCCTATGGGGGTTTACTCACTGCCCTCCCATGGCGGTGGGCATTGGGCACGATGAGGGCTCACCATAATGATCTGTTCTTTTCTTATCCTTCACCTTAACTTTGTTTCTACCTTGTTAAAAATTATAGGAGAAGAATATAAGACCTGTTTAAAAGAAGGACACAATCTCTGTTTTACCTTGTGTCTCCTAAACCACCTGTACTTTGAAATGCATGATCATTTGTCGTATCCTACAGCATCCATTCACACGGATGATTTCAAATAAGCTCTCTTGCCTCTCCTACCAGCTTCCTGTTAGTTAGCCTTAATATTTCGTGGAAGCATTTGAAAGGAATGTTAATTTTCCTTTGTTTTTTTTTTTTTTTTCCTGACTTCTATTTTGCCTTCACTAGTTTCTCAGTTCTGTGCTGAAGTTTATTGCATGCTGCTCAATTCTCCCAACTCTGAATCAGTGTGTCCTCAAGGCAGTAACTCGCTGTAGCTCTGGATGAGACCTCTCCCTTGAGAATGTCTTCAGAAAAGGATGGTAGCTTTGAAGTGTCAGGAAATTCACCAGGAATAAGAAGAAACAAAACTACAAAGCAGACACCAGGAGTAAGAAAATAGCAATGCTCAATGATGGGGCAAATATGCCTGTCAAAGTGGTGGCGATTGTCAGTGAGGGAAGCTGCCACCTCATGTCCATTGCCAAGGACTTGGGGAACCAGCCAAGCCTTCCTTAATTGAGAAAAATGACAATCAGCCATGGTACAAAAACAGAGATGATTTTTATAAATAGGGTTGATAGCAGGATTTTTCCAGCTTCTGATTGCTGTCTGGCTATGGTTCCACCCTTAGAAAAATTCTGTCCTTCGAGTGCCAAATTCAGAAGATGATTTTGCCCAACTTGTTACTGCCATATTTTCTGAATCTCTTAAAATAGAGTTGAATCATAATTTAGAAAAAGGACCCAACATGCAAAAATGGATGGGCACATAGGATGGAGCTAGGTTTGTGGGATGCTCTTGCCCCATGAATAGTAAAATCTTTCTTAAATCTAAAAATTTTACTGAAGCACAGCTTCTGACATTACACTAAGAACAGCCTCTTCCTGCAGTAGATTGCTTTGGGGAAATGGAAATGTTAGATGCTCGTTAGCTCTTTTAGTTTGGTTCGTGCCCCCCCCCTGAAAATCCTGTCTTCTCTCCCATCCTACCCCTCTACCCCACTGCCTGACTCTCTCTCTCTCTCTCTCTCTCTCTCTCACACACACATACTAGCACTCTTGAATCAACACTATAAAGCTAAACTTAAGAAAAGAGGTTACATGCAGAATTTGTTCACACCTTGTGATGATAATGGCCTAAAAGGGTCAGGAGCCTTCTCTAGCTCACTGTTAAAGACAGGCCGAGGCCCCAGCAATAAGCTGTCCCAGTGATGCAGGGCAGCCTCTGAGTACGGAGTCTTGATCTCTGAGAAGACACCGCAGGCTTCAAAGGGCTTTCGGCGGGGGGAATGCGGACAGCCTCCGGGGCCCACAGTTCCCATGGTGGGGCGCCATCTCTGTGCCTTATCCATGCAGCTTTTGGCCTCCTGGATCCTCGTGCAGGCAAAGCGAATGCAGGCCTGGTTGTGGTTTTGATTTCAAATATCACTCTCTACCAGGACCTGGGACACATCTCAGCTTACACAGAGGACCTCACTCATTCCTCCCGGTGACCCTGTGAAGTAGATGATATCATTACCCTCACTCCACAGAGGAGAAAATCAGAGTTCAGAGAGGTCCAGAGCAGAGTCAGAATTTGAACCCAGATTTTTTTTTAAATTCTAAGCTAGAATGCCTTCTTTTTGAGTACCACCATTGTGAGGACCAGTCTTTTGACCTGAAGGAGAGCACAAACTTTTGTGGCTAGCCCTCCAGGAAACAGTGAATCGGGAAGTCTCCTCTTCATTCTTACATCCTCCTGCCTGCTTTCTCTGCCTGTACTTGGACCCGTGTGCCACCTTTCCAGATGAACGCTCACTTTTCATTCCTTTCCAGTGCTCTTTTATCTCTAGTTTACACAGACCTTGTGGGTCAAGGGTTCTTTTATTTGCCCAACATTGGATTCTGCTGTCAGAGGAAGTAGCGGAGACAAGACACATACCCAAAACCAGAATGCAAGTCCAAGGGTGAAAGATGTTCCCATGTGTGTATTTTGCACCAGCCGATGACAACGTCCATCTCCTCCATGTCTATCTGCTCGCCCTAACTGTGATTTTTTCCTACTTAGAAATTCAACAAAACAGTCGTTGGATTAAAAACCAACCTAAACAAGTCATCAAGATAAGCACTTCACACCTCCCTATGCAACAGGGATGAAGGGGCTGAGTTTGGGTGGGTATAAACCCTGTTTCTGGTGGTTCCAGGGAGCAGAGCCCCAGACTCCAGGCTCTCAGCCACTGTTCATTTTGTTATTAAATGAAGAAATGTGTGGTTTCCATGACAACAACCCTACCAAAGTTTTATAGCCTCTCTCAGTACTTGCTGGACCAAATCTCACTTTTCAAAGCAGGTGCTCTTAAGGGACCCTTCTCAGAAAACCACATGCTAACATGAGAATGGGGAACCCCACCACCAGACCCTTTTTTCGATTGGTATCTCCAGAATTTGGCATAAGAAACAACTGCCTCTAGCCTAAAGAAAACTCTAGGTATAATTTCTGTATCGTTGGGTCAGGTCGTCACTGGAGAGAAAGCTTCAAATTCGGCTAAAGGCAGTTCGTGAAAATGCTAGATTGTAGCAGAAAACACTTTGCGACCTTGTTGTTGCCTCTGTCATCTTAATGTTTCCTTGTCACTGAGGCAAGGCAGGCCCTGCATATTCATCCGTGCCCTCCTGTGTGGAGAGTGGCCTTGGGCATGCTAAGTTACATATTGCAAGCTCATCATGCGGCAGACTTGATGATGAGCCTCTTGCCCCCTTTGGGAATGAAGGACTTACTCCCTCGCTTGCTGGGAAGGCTGCAACAGTCTCAGCTGCCAGTAACCTATGGGGGCTCAGGAAGTCCACGCAAGGTCACAATCCCCTTCTGGGGTGGCCTCCATCCAGTGGCGGGCTGGTGTGAAGCTCCAAAGGCCCAGCCCCCTTGGCTCGACTCAGGACAGCTCCGAAGGTTCATCCTGGAGGGCCAGACGAGGCTCAGCTTCAGAAGCTCAGCTTCTCCCTCTGCCCAGTCCCTCCCAGCAGGTGTTAATACCTAATAAATGTCTTGGCTGCTAATTTCCACGCCAGGGTCTTTTCCTTGGGAGCTTGACTTGTGGCACATCCCAAGGTCTAGAAGCTGCCCGGGTCAGGAGCATCCCCCCCAGGAGAGCAGAGTCAAGGCAGCGAGCTACAGCAGGACCGCCAGGGGCCTGGCAGTGTTCTTTGATCCTGGACATGGTGTGTAGTCTCACGCTCAGTACACTTCTGATGCATGACCGTGCTTTCATTCTGCTCCAGTGTTCAATTTTTTGTGACTATGGATGTTCACATTTGCCATCTAATACTGGTAAGGACTCACTGCAGTCTCCAGAGAAGGCGTTCACGAACACACATGCCACCTCTACCAGCAGGAGTCCTCTGGGTGTCCTTCTCCTTGTCCCTTAACTGTAGCTGCTGTCACTAATTACTACAAACTCAGGGGCTAACACAACACAAATGATCTCTCTCACAGTTCTCATGGTCAGACGCCCAAAATCAGTTTTACTAAGCAAAAGGGAAGATGTCAACGGGGCTGGCTCTTTCTGGAAGCTCCAGGGCAGAAAACGTTTCCTGGCCTTTTCCAGTTTTTGGAGGCCACCCACATCGCTTGGCTTGTGGCCCCTTCTTCTAAGCCAGCAGCGTGGCACCTGTGTCCTGTCTGACCTCTGCTTCTACCCTTACAGCTGCTCTCTCCTGATCCCCCTTCTCACCCAAGGGCCCTTGTGTGGAATGACTCAGAGCCCACTCGGACAATCCCTCTGCATCAAGACCCTTAACTTACTCATATCTGCAAAGTCCCTTTGGCCATGTATTCTGGGGATTGGCATGTGGACGCCCTTGTGCGGGCATTATTCAACCTGCGACCCTGGTGACCATGCCTGAGTGAGGATTCCAGGCGAAGAGAGGGACACGGGCAGAGACAGGGAGGCCTGGCCTGATGTCATGTGGGAAGCTGCAGAGCCTTGTTACAGTGAAAGCATAGGTTTCAAGAGAGACACGTCAAGTGATCGAACCAGGGTGCCTGGGTGGCTCAGTCGGTTAAGCGTCTGCCTTCGGCTCAGGTCATGATCCCAGGGTCCTTGGGATCGAATCCCACATCGGGCTCCTTGTTCAGCAGGGGTCTACTTCTCCCTCTCACTCCCCTTCTGTGCTCTCTCTCTCTCAAATAAATAAATAAAATCTTTAAAAAAAAAAGTGATCAAACTGGACAGAGATGCAGGTGAGCTGGTTCAGTTAGGATGTGTGTTTTAAGCGTGAATTAGAGTAATTATAAATGTTACTTCTCTCCCTCTTTGCCCATAAATAAGCCCCTGAGGCCAGGATTCGGGTCACTGTCTTCCTGATGCCAGCACAGCTCTAGCTCTGTGACTGGCACAGGGCAGGAGCTCAGCACAGGTGTGTGGCATCACGGAATGTCACCTTTGCCCTAGGACACCGCAGTGGCAGAGCACTCTGAGAAGAGAGCTAAGGGCCCCAGAGCCTGGCCGGCATGACCCTGGGCATTGTCACCTTGGCAACGCGAGGGGCTGGCTTGGCACTGACTGGACAGGGGCATCTGCTGAGCCGGCAGCTTGCGTGGGCCCAGGGGGGAGAAGGCTTTCAAACGTGTTACATAATAAAACTGGCAAAATGATCACTGTTGAGGCTGGAAGATGGGTACATGAGGGTTCGTTATGCTCTTCTCTCGACTGACTATTTCCATGATATGAGGTTTTTTTTTAAGTTATGTGAGCAGAAGTGAGCGGCACGTGGCATCCTTGAAAGTGGAACAGGTACCACAACAGAAGAGAAGTCTGTGGTAATAATTGGGTGATAACAGGGATAAAAAGGATGAAGACTCTAAAAAGCTCACGTCTGTTACTTATGAAGAAACACGTGTACCGAGCGCTTCATCAACGGCAAAGCTTTCCGTACCCATGAGGGACGACTGCTCCTCAGTGTTTAACACAGACAGTATTTCCTCGGGAATGAAGCCATTTCCCAGTCTTTTGTATAATGAATGAGATGAATTTCTTCACATGTAGGAACCGCAGGGCCCGCTGGAGTCACTTCTTCTCCACACAACCTTCCCTTAGATGTTCTCAGTTTGAAGTGTGTTGCTTCTCTCCCTTGTCTGCCCCTCGTCCCCAGACGCTGAAGGACGCCAGCGACAACGCCCGCAAGGACTTCCACCGTGAGGCGGAGCTGCTGACCAACCTCCAGCACGAGCACATTGTCAAGTTCTATGGTGTCTGCGTGGAGGGCGACCCGCTCATCATGGTCTTCGAGTACATGAAGCACGGGGACCTCAACAAGTTCCTCAGGTAGGGCGCGGGGTGTGGTGTGGGAGGGAGCTGGGGGAGGAAGCGGGCCTCCATGTTCAGACAGGCCTGAGGGTGAGGACAGGGAGACCCGGGGAAGGGCCAGGGGTCCCCTGGAACGTTCTCGGGTGAAAACACCAACACGTTCTACAGAGAAAGAAACGGAGGACACTGAAGAAATGAGGGACGGGAGAAATGAACTGAGCCGTGGACTCTTGGGGGAAGGGAACCAAGTGATGCTTTTATTTGCCTTGAGCAGAGGTACAAATGGAAGTCGCCCATGTAAGAGCATGAATGGAAAGAGTAAGCAGTCCCAGTAGTGTGGGCTGGGAGACTGGATTCTCCTTCCTCGTCTGCATCAGCGGCCATGTCTGCCTGGGTAGGTCTCCAGCCCACTTTGTCCCAGGCACCCCGACTCCAGGTGGGTCTGAGCTGGACCCTCTTTCTGTCATCTCTGGCTCTAACACGCTGTGTTCTTTCAAACGTGGCTACCTCTCAGCTTTGAAAGGCCAGCAAGTGTGCGGCCTGTGGTGTCTTGGTAGGTAGTTTAACTGAGGAGAAACAGGAAAGATGTCAGCCTCGGTTTTCTTAACTGTAAAAGGGGTATAATAGTACCCACATCAAGGACTAGTGTTGGGACGATTGTGATAATAGATAATCAATAGATATTGTCCCCAGAGCCACATGGTTGAGGGATCCGCAACCCTGGGGATGTTATACCTCTTGTGTTACGGTGACATCTAGACCTCTCTGTCCTCCTCCAGCTACTGGGGGCCCTGGAAAGAGCTTTCCTCAGAAATGGGCACCAGGCAGCCCCTGGAAAATTCAGAAACCGTGCAGTTTAATAGTCCATCGCTGAGAGAACGGTGGCGGGGGACAGTGTACTGCTGTGCTTAGAGATGTCATCATGCGGCTTGTACCTTCCGGATCACTTGTACTAGGCTCATGAATACACGTGCAATTTAGTCGTCCTTCCCTGGGATGGGTCCCCCTTCTCAGCCTTGCTTATGATTGCATGGGGGGAGGGAATGCCAGGTGAGATTAGGAATATGTAGCCAACTCTTGGTGCTCAGTGTCAGCAGTTTTTCTTGCTGGGGAGAGGGGATGATGATAGATTTTGTCTTTCAGATCTCATGTGAAAGGAGGAAAAGCAGCTACATTTGGTGGAGGTCTAGCTGCTCATAGAAGTATTTTTCCCTTGTTCCCATGTTCTAGGCTACTTCTCTAATTAAAAATGGTGCTTTCCAAAAATATAGCACCAAAAATAATACACCAAACGTATTTACCTGGCTGCAATTAAATGCTTCTGTGAGCTCACACTGTGTGTGTGTATGCATGTGAGTGCATGTGTAAGCATGTGTGTGTGTGTGTGTGTTTGTGTGTGTGTGTGTGTTAATCCTTTCACTTTTGGCTCAGCCAACCTCTCCCTAGCTTTCCTTCCTGCTTCCAGAAGGAGCAGACCCCTGATTCTCCCTGGGCGTCTTACACAAGGCATGGAGCTATTAGAAATCTCTCCCACTTGATTTCAGAATCTGCTGAACTCTGGTAACAAGAGGTTTCCAATGCCAAGAAGCAGGTTCTCAGGCGCAATAATGCACTGTGAACTATAGTCTGTCCTCCCTTTCTGGAAGGGAACCCAGCCCCTCAATGCCATGACCATGTCCCACCCCCCCCCCGTGTCATTGGCACTGCCCTATAAAGACAGATGTCTACAATTTCCTCTCATCCTTTTTATTCATCCAAAGCCATACACTTAACACTAACATGGCCAGGCCCTGTGCTAGGGTGGCTGGGAAATGAGGAGAAACATAGTTCTTGCTTGCAAAGAAATGCCAGTTTTTCCTTTGGAATCTCTCCAGAATTCCCTTACGACAAGTTTGCAAGTAATAACAGCTAATATTATTGAGACTTCTAAGCATTTTAAATAGTTTAACTTGCATACACTTAATAAACTATTATTACAAGTATTCCCATTTTATAGTCAAAAAAAGAGAACTGAGTCACAGAGCTGAGATTCAAACCCACAGCCCCTGGCTGCAAAACCCAGAGCCTTAAGCACTGCACTGCTTCCTCTTGAAGCAGCCGGTTAAAAAGATCAGAAGGAAAGTAGCATGCTGTGGAATTTGGAGCCAGACTGTGTGGCTAAGTGCTGACTGTAACCCACACTTGGAGAGAATGAGCTGGGGAAAGGTGTAGAGGCTCCCTCGTTAGAAGCCCATCGAACCTTCCTGCTCTCCCAGCCAGGGTGCTAATCGTGCTTTTCCCCTTTTAAGGCATGTTCTCCCGGAAGAGGTAAAAATATGTTTTTGTTTCCAAGAGCTGCCAGGTAACCTGGAGAATGAAGCAGAGGGCTTTTGTGTTGACTTTATTTATACTCCTCTTGAGAACTTGTTTAGAAGACTTGCCTGCCCTCTTTTTACAGCGGGATTTTCTGCTCAAAGGCTTCTCCCATTAAAAGGAGTCTTGTTCGAATACTCAAAAGCAAGCAGAGGAGACAGCTGGTTTAAAATGCGGGAGCCTGCCCTACACCACACCTGGTAGCGGAGAGTGCAGAAGGCCCTGGAGGCCCACAGCCTTCTGGCGCCTTCACGCAGAGGTGGCCTGTGGCATTGGCCTCAAATGTCTCCTCTTCTCTGGAGTCTTTGCCATAGATAGATTCTTAGAAGGGTCTAGCTTCCTGGGGCTGGAATAGGGTTCTGGCAAGTGAGCAACATGTTTCACTCTTTGATTTGAATCTATGAAGATTCCATCCTGGCCTAGACTCTCTGGATATTTCAGGATTTCTCCTAGTTTATGTGTTCTTCTAGGTCTCTCTGCTGGTTTGAAGTCACAGTAAGGGCTTTGTCTCCTGTGATAGGTGAAAACATTCCGCCTTTCGCCTGCCCCCTCAGTGCTGGGAAAAACAACCTCAACCTCTGAGCGATCTTAAACTGGCTTTCCATGAAAGGCCACGAAGCTCCGCACAAGCACGGTTTCAGCTACTACTCCCATCAATGTGCTTAGGAGGGTGCAGTGGGTACCCTCACTTTACAGAGGTGAACCGTGCTAGGACCGTCTTGCGCAAAACCAGGAAGTTCCTCCCCTGGAATGGTTCAACCCAGATATTTAGAGATACAAGGGACCTACATGATCACCCAGCCTAATAGCCCTTTGTCTGTTTGACTGATGGGGAAATTACAGACTGGACAAGTTAAAAGTCTTCCCTAGATCCTGGTGGTGGAAAACTCCCCTCCTCCTCATCCAGTGCTTGTTCTCTGAGAATCCAAGAATGAAGGATTTGGAAATCCAGCAAAAGGGGGAATTGCTGGGGGCTAGAGCCAGGAAGAAGGGGCATACGCCTGCAGTGGGAGACAGTCCAACCGAAGTGGGGCTGGCTGGTGTGGGGAGAGACAGAAGGAGCAGGGTGTTCTGGGACAACTCCAACCCTTTCGTTTTTCAAATACTCGTACAGCTCCACAGCCCTGCAGGTGGGATCGTCCGCTTTAAAACCCATTTGAAATCTTCCATATTGATTTTGAGTGCTTCCAGCTGTCCTGAAGGAAATCTTCTCCCTTATTGGCCTCTGGAAGGAAGCAGCACTTTGACCGCTCCGCGGAAGCGTCTGGAAGAGAGAGACCCTTTACTCTTTGCCCTGCAGCGCCCCTCAGGCCATCAGGGGCCAGTGACGCCAGTCTTGGCAGGATTCAAGAGCAGGGCCTGGTGGGGCTGAGGGCTCATCCTGAGACTGGGACACTCCCCTCCTTGAAGCATGTGCCAGTGTTGAGGTGCCTAAGTCATCACATGCCTGGGGAAAGACCAAGTGCATAAGATAGAAGAAAAAGGAGATATAAAATACCATACTCCCCCCCCCCACACCATAATGTAAAGAATAAAACCTGGCCCAGTAAAAGAGTCGATGTATTGTGATTCCAGAACTCTCCATGTGGTGGCCAGGGCACAGGTGGGCAGGGGAGGGCTGGGCAAGAGATGGGATTTTTCACAGCGAATGAATGTCCAGGCTGAGGGTCCCTGGGATTCTGCTCAGGTGGGTTTGAGGGAGACCAGGGCAGCTTGGAAACCCTGCCCCACTGCAAAACTCTGGCCCTGGTGGGGGCACGCTGGAGACATTGGCCTGGGTGGGGGGTGCTCCAGCTGCAGCTTGTAGCTGGGAGGGGAGGGCTGGGGCTCCCACTGGGGCATGATGACCCACCACTCCAAGAGAGCCAAACTCTCCCCCCGTGTTTTGGTTTTGGTTTATTTTTATTTTTGTTCATGTTTTTTGCGCCACTGCTTCTCAGGGTCAGGGGCTCTGGCCAGTACCTGGCCCCAGGCTAGCTCTGGGGCCCCTAAAACACAGAGCTCTGTGTGTGTGTGTGTGTGTGTGTGTGTGCTGAGGAGGGTACCATGCAGGCCCACATGGCCCTGAGAATTCTAGATTTCCTGGGAATTGAAGCTTTAGGGGTGCACCTGTGGGTGAAGCATCTCCTCCCACTCTTTAGCTAAGTCAGGCAGCCCTTGAGTCCCAGCTGCTGCTGGGAGACAGGGCCCTTGGAGGGAAGAGCTGGGGCTCCAGCAACACTTCCGTGTCCTCCACAGGGCCCATGGGCCTGACGCCGTGCTGATGGCCGAAGGCAATCCACCAACAGAGCTGACCCAGTCCCAGATGCTGCACATCGCCCAACAGATAGCCGCGGGCATGGTCTACCTGGCGTCCCAGCACTTCGTGCACCGAGATCTGGCCACCCGCAACTGCCTGGTCGGTGAGAACCTCCTGGTGAAAATCGGGGACTTTGGGATGTCCCGGGACGTGTACAGCACTGACTACTACAGGGTGAGTGGCTGTGCCCATCAGGGGTCCCCAGGGCCCTCTTTCCCTGGGAGCCCCTTGTATTCATTTGCTGGGGCTGCCATAACAAAATACTGTAGACTAAGGGGCTTACCTAATAGACTTTTATTTTCTCTGAAGGCTAAAAGTCCAAGGTCAGGGTGATGGCAGGGTTGCTTTCTCCAAAGGCGTCTCTTCTTGGCTTGCAGACAACGCCTTTCTCTGTGTGCTCACATGGTCTTGTTGCTCACACAGTCTTGTTGCTGTGTGCGCATCCCTGGTGTCTCTCTCTCTCTGTGTCTAAATTTCCTTGTCTTGTAAAGACACCAGCTAGATTGGATGAAGGCCCACCACAGCCTTGTTTTCATTTAGTCACCTCTTTAAAGACCCTATCTCCAAATACAGCTATAGTCTGAGATACTGGGGGTTAAGGCTTCCATGCACAAATTTGGGGGGAACACAATGCACCCCATAAACCCATCCTGCTCTTTCCATGGTTCTCCAGAGTGGTGTGTGATATCTCCAAGACAAAAGCCCTCAGTGTGATGGTTCAGCCCGGGGAGCCCAAGGGCTTGGGGGAATCCCTGGTTGGCACAAGGTTAAAGGGTTTTGAGGTTTATATTTGATTCTGTGAAATTATGCCTGGAGCCTTTATCTGAGGGTGTGGCTGAAGATGAACTTTTCACACAAATAATAACACCATAGACCTTAGAAGTTCCCACCCAGAGCCATCTTGGTTGAAAGTGGGTTGGCTGGTGGCCTTCTTTGTGAGATGTAAGAGGTTCTGTTCTGCCTCCTCCTGAATAGTCCCACCTCTGGCTGGCTAGGTTTCCACCACTAGAAACACTAAGGGCTAGAGTTATAGAAACAAATCAAATCCCCTGATTACCTGGAACTGGTCCCCTGGGCAAGGTAGATTTGTTAACTGAGATCTTGGAACTTGGGTAGGAGAGGAAAAGGACATTTCTGGAAATCTTGAAGTCACGATATTGAAAGTGAAGGTTTGAAGTGGTATTCTACTACCTCAAACCCTCAATTTGGTTTTCCTGTGGTTTTGCTTGATTTTCAAGGGCAGAGGAAGAGAATAGGAAGGAAAAGGAATAAATGTGTTGTGTGTACATAGCCTAAGAAGGTAAAACATATAACTTGACTAGATTTCGTAAGGTAGGACTGGCAGAGACAATGCCTCTCCTCACTTTTGGTCTTCCCTTTATGATTTTTTTTTTTTTTTTTGAGGAACTTTGTTTCCAATGTCCCTCTCTGCAGCCTTACTCACTTCTCATGCCCCTGCATTTTAGTTAAACCAACATCACTACAAGTAGTCTAAGAAAATAAATCCAGTGCTTTGCTGCATATTCTTCTGTAGATTGTTTTGTGGGATTTCTTCCTTTGTCACCTTGAGAAGCATTGTTCACAGTCTGTGGGACAAAAAAAAAGAGTGGAGACCAAATTGAAAAGGATTCTCTTGGGTGTGTCTGTAGAAAATGTGAGTATGGTCTTAACTTCAAGTGTTCAAAATGGAGCTTTGAAGGACCTGTCCTGAGTCTAACGATGACTAGTCTATTCTGGATAGCTAAAATATGGTGGGAGCCTTTACCTACTGATGGAAGCATCTCCACTGTTAGCTCTGTTCCTTTGGTGGGAGGTGGGGGTGGGGACGTTTCCCTGTCTCAAGAGATGAAGAACCACATGAGTCCTTCCCTAAAGAAGAGCTTTGCTGATCTTGATGAGCACCAAAGGGAGAAACATGTGGCCCTAACAAGAGCTTCGTCTTTAGCAGTAAGTTAATAAAGGTCCTAGAATGCTTGGCACAAAATAGGTATTCAACAAATGTTTTCAACTTTATCATGATCCAAATGGATAAAATCATTCTTCATTCCCAAAGCCACAACTGAGCCAGGTGGAGTCCAGTGTCATTTCTTATAATCTTTAGAAAAAATAAATCAGAGAAACAAGATAGAAATGCTCAACGGGAAGAAGATAAACAACCTGATTAAAAAATAGGCAAAATTTTTAAGTAGAGGTGTTGCCAAAGGGGATATACAAATGTTCACATGAAAAGATGCTCAACATCATTAGTCATTGGGGAAATGTAAATCAAAGCCCCATTGAGATAGCACTTCACACTCACTAGGATGCTGTAATAAAGATGGACAATAGCAAGTGTTAATGGGAATGTGGAGAAATCAGAGCCCTCATACACTGCAGGTAGGGATGCAAAATGGTGCAGCTGCTTTGGCAAATGGTTTGGCAGTTTCTCCAAATGTGCAACACAGACTCATCATATAACTCAGCGATTCCACTCCTAGGTATATTACCTAAAAGAACTGAAATCATACTTTCACACAAAAATGTGTACACGAATGTTCATAGCAGCATCATTCATAATAACTAAAAAGTGGGAACAACTTAAGTGTCCAACAACTGGTGAATGAATAAATGAGATGTGGTGATCATACAATGGGCTATTATTCACCAGTAAGAAGGAATGAAGTACTGACTCATGCTACAACACAGATGAGCCCTAATGCAACCATTATGGTAAATGAAGGAAGCCAGACTCAAAAGATCACATATGGGATTCCATTTATATGAAATGTCCAGAATAGGCAAATCCATGGAGACAGAAAGTAGATCAGTGGTTGCCAATGGCTGGGAGAATGGAGAATGAGGAGTGACTGCTGCTGGATATGGAGTTTCTTTTTAGGGTGATGAGAATGTTCTAGAAGTGTACAGTGGTGGTGGTTATTTAGTATATTGATAAATGTGCTAAATACCACTGAAAGGTAAATATTATGGTATATAAATTGTATCTCATGTCTTTAAAAAAAGTCTAAAAAGCCTACAAGTCTATGGTATATGAATTATATCTCATGTCTAAAAAAAAGTCTAAAAAGGAAAATACTAGCTAAATAGTGACCATTATTATGAACATAAGAAGTTAGTCTGGATTATTTAGACATTAAAAAAGTACTGTCATTTGTTATCTACTTTATTTTGTTATCCTTTATTAAAAAGGAAATTCACCACTTAGGTGACATTTTCCCGAAGTTCCTTTTTCTGAATTGATTGGAGGAAATAATGTTTCCCAGTTTCTTTGTTAAATGTTCTTGGAACTATCCTCATCATTAGCAAATGTACTTCAGATGCCACATTTATGCAACCCCATCCCCCACCCCTCTCCCACCATGATCACTACTCAGTGGCAGCTGGGGGATCTGTATGTTCACTTGGCTATTTGTTGTTCCCACTAAGGATGAGGAAGAAGAACCAGCCTTACATTGGCCTCTGTTATATTTATTTATTTATTTATTTTTTATTATTTTTTTTA